TCAAATTTAGTACGTCTTGACTTGGTTAGCAAATTGCATGCACTTTCATTTTACTGATATGAAATATTTGTAGTAATAGTGAAAATCGATTATATTATGATTACATATGATTACAATTGGTTAATATAGTAGCATACTTGGGATATGATAGAGAATAGGAATGTATATGTATGTAGTCAGATATATCGCTATTTATGTAGAGAGAGAGAAAAAGCTTACTATATTTCCACGATAAAAGGTGCAAGTTAGCTCCTTCTGCAAATATGAGCTTTTTTGATTCTCTCTTTTAATATTGAGTTTCAGCAGAGGAAATACTGATATCGGATAATTATAATACAATGAATATAAAGTAATTAAAATAATTTTTAATATGACTTAGGAATTAAAATTAGTTACTCTAAAGTTTAGTTAGAAAAAATGTAGAAAATAATTGAAAGTTTTGAAAAAATATATAGTAAATTTAAAAAAAAAATGATGAAATTATAAATATTAGTATTTGTTATAGTTTGATATTTAATATTTATTGTTATATATGTGTTAGTTACTGAATTTGAATTTCCAAAAAAAAAAATTAAATTAAGTGTAATTTTTTTTGATATAAAGGTCTGCAGAGACCTTTAATTTTTATCACATTGAAATTAACATATATGTATTTTTAATAAAGTTAAAATAAACTTCTGCAACAGAATCAGATTTTAATATTCTCGGTATTATTGAATCGCAATAATAACAACAAATATTTTTTTTCGGGTTGTATAGCCTTATTGCCTATTCACACGGCATGAATTTGATTAAAAGATAATCTGAATCAACAATTGATCTGAATTTAGTTATTACTCTTGTCAACGTATGTATTTATTTCAAAACCTATTTATACCGATCAATTTAGAGTTTCTTTCGTTTGTTTAAACAAATGATAGCCAATTTTAATTAAAAAAAAATATCTTGATTTATATTTACCATTTAAACAAGTTATTATAATAGAATATTGGTCTAACGAAATATATTATTTCAAGCCTTTTCGTAACTTTGAATGCATTTTATAGTATATTCGACATTAGTTGTTTAGAGAAACCATTTTTGTTAAATTTGTTATAGTAAGTTTTGGATCGTTCGTGAATATAGAGGTTCATTATATCGGGTTAATTTCAAATCAGTTCAAATATTCGTTAATTTGAGAGTCTGCTTTAAATGGCTATCATAATTTATTAAAAAAAAATTGTTTATTGTTTCTTGTGCGCATGGATATATTTTATTCGTGGGTTCAACACTATTTTGAGTTGATTCTGACTACGTTATTATATTTTTTCTAGAGATCTAGAGATCTACTTAGGACTGTTGGGTTATTATAAAGCCGCATAAATCTAGGTATATTATCTTATTATGGCTTTCAATGAAAAGTGTTGCAGCCTACTGAAGTACTTTTGTGAGTAATAACGTGGCTAGTTTATTCTAGAGATTGCTGGTTTCTTGGAATTGCTGGTTTATTCATTGTTATAAAACACATTTACTCAGTTTATAATAACTTTTATGGGAAGATCTTGTAACAAACGGATATACTTTTGATAGTAACGCCATTGTTGGTTTATTTTAGAGATTCACTTAATACTGTTGGTTATTATACAGCCGCATAAATCTAAGTGTTGCAAAGCCCACTATTAAAAGATTATTGGTCTTATAATGACTTTCAAGGGGATATACTAACAGTAGAATGAGATAATTTTATTAGTAATACCATTGATCGGCAAGTTTTCTACATAATTAAATGCTATAATTTCTTTAAAAATTATATTATAATCAGGCATTTTTTAGAAATTTGTTAACAATATCAATATATGTAGTTCCTCAAATTTTGTGCTATATTTTGGATCTGTTCTGTTATAAACACATAAATATCAATATCATCAATTGCTATCTATTATATTATCTTGCTATCTGTATATATACAAGATTTTCTATAGTTCCGAATATATATCTATATTATGTCTTTGTTTTGTTATAAACACACACCTAGATTTTTTGAATAGATCTATTTACTGCACTTCTTTCGCGACCAAATATTGAAAAAAAAGTTTATTACATAAATAATTTCCGTAGTTCCCACAAATTGGTGGTTGTAATGTAATATGAATTCTAAAGATTAGCAAGGAAATATGGTTCAGAAATATTTTTTTTTTTATACTCATAAATATGTATGTCTCTCATAACAGAACAGAATAAATATGGCTGATGCAATTTTGCCCGTTTACGTTTGGCCTATCAAGAAATTAATGTACATATAAAGAGCAATTTTTTAATAAAATAAAAAAATTAATGTACGCTAATAATAAAAAATTAAAAAAAAACCAAAAAAAAAATAAATGTATATATGGTATACGCCCAGTTATGACGCGATTGAAATAAACCAAGCCAAACTCAAACAAATCGAGCATTGCTCATAACGACAATATTAGCTTCACGATCCAATCCCCAGTAAAAACTAAGTCAACCAAACCAAGCCAAGTAACCAACAAATAATTTTCATGAGTATTTTCGTAGCTGCTGTCCATCTGCCATTTACTACTAGCCGAGCCGAGCCGAGCCGAGCTGAGCTGAACTGAACAGAATTGCTTGTGTTCTTGTTCTTCATTTATTGCCTGCTACAGTTGTTTGCTTGTCTGCCTGCGCCTGCTCCATTCCTCATGCTCCACTGCCACATTCTTTACACATTCTTCCGCGCTTGTTTCGTTGTATTGCCGTAGCTGCTTGGCTCGTCTTTTGCTACAATTTTCAGCTCATTTGCTTATTAAATCACAAAAGTACTTGCATATCAAAATACAAATTCATATGCCAGACACATACACACACACATCCATACATACAACAGTCAACAGTGACAAACAGACAAACAGTCAGCAACAATTGTGGTGTACGTTTTTGTACTTATTTGTATGAAAAACGTTGATATATAGTACGTGTTTGCATGGAAAGTATGCGTCTGTTTATACTTAATCGCCTTTGATTGCTGCTACCCTCTTTGTACATTAAAATATAAATACATATGTATGTGGACAAAACGCATACATATAGAGTAATTGAGCTCACTCATACCAATACAAATTTACATTTGCAATTCTACACGAGATGTATTAACGTAAATGTTTTAACCCTGGTTTTTTGCATTTATCGCCGTTTCCAATTATATTTTTAATGTTTAATACTGATGGCTATTGTTGATGCTGTTATTGTTGTTGGTACTTATACTACTGCGACTGCGGCTGAGGCTACTGCTGATGCGAACGTTGTCGTTGTAGTTGCCGTTGCCGTTGACGCTTGAAATTTTTGTTCGTTCTTTATGGTAATGATCATAACTGTGTTCACTTATACTATATTGTATATCATCTTATTATGCTAATGTAGTTGTTTGTGTTTTTATTCTGATAGGAAATGATTTTATTTACTGCTCTTTGCTTGCTTGCGTGCTTACTTACTCATTGCAGGCTTAATACTTTGCCATTTCATTATTTCGTTGTAGCTGTTTTTGTAATTGCCTTTGCTGCTTTAGTAAACTTGGTCCATTTTAATTTATCATCTGCCTGCCGCCGCCTGTTTGCTTGCTTTCCCTGTGCCCGCATATTGCTGTTTTTCAATCCATATGCCCGCTGCTCACAATAAACGCTCGCCTGCTCGGTTGCTCTCACTTAGACTTTGTTTTTCAATGGTTGACACTATTTTGTGGCTTAAGTGATGATTTCGTCTTTCCATGTTTCGTTATCAGTTTAAATAAATAAACGTGGGTACAGTCAATTATTGAGGAAATCATGGAATTTGTAGATTTCATTTAAGATAATTCGTTTTGTTGCTGTTGTTGTTGTTGTCGATGTTACTAAATTAATATTTATTAAATTAAATTATTAATAAATTGTACCTAATTTACTTTCATGTAAAATTTTTTTTTTAGTAATTTTAGGTCATTGCTTTGTTGTTGCAAGTGAGACATAAAAAGTAGAACACATAGACATGTGTATATATTCTATGTGTTACCTTCTATTAATACGAATCTGAAATCTATAATATAGAATGAAGTTTCTATTTTATTTATGGTTAATGAGTTTATTTTAAAAGATTAATAATTTAATTAGCAGAATAACTGATAATTAATAGTAATTAATTATGAAAAATTAGTAATTAATAGTTATTAATAATTAATAAAAATAAATAATTAATAAAAATAAATAAAAATAATAAAAATAAATAAATTGGTCACTAAAGGGTTAATTATACTGTGATTCTAGTAGAATTATAGAATAGATCTCTTCAACATTGTGTTAATTTCTATTTAGCTGATACTCTGAATTCAAATTAAATTAGATAAATAAATTTGTTATAATTTTTTTGATTAAGAATAGTTATTATTTATTATCAATTATTAATTATAATTAATTATTATCAATTATTAATTATAATTAATTATTATCAATTATTAATTATAATTAATTATTTGTATTATTACTTATTAATAATTATTAATAATAATATTATTAATAATTATTAATATCAAATATTAATCAAAAAAATGATAACAAATTTATTTATCTAATTTAATTTAAATTCAGAGTATCAGTTAAATAGAAATTAACACAATGTTAAAGAGATCTATTCTATAATTCTACCAGAATCACAGTATAATTAACCCTTTAGTGACCAATTTATTTATTTTTTTTGCGAAGAAATTACTGAAGATAGTTTTAAAGTAAATAAGCATTTATTCATTCCAGAAAAAATGTTGTAAATAACGATAATCTAATTTAGTATCATATATTTTAAATTTAGGTTATTTGCAAAATATTAAATCACTTCTGGTATAATTGTAATGATTATTGACACTATTAGAGCAGTTTAATTGTAGGCTGCCTTAAAGCATTCTTGGGAACTAGAAGATTTATAGTCAGTAAGCAATATTTTTGTAAGGTGACATCAAAACTTGATAAACTAAATATTCTTAGATATAGTGAAGTGAGGATCTTAAGAGTTTTAGGTGATTGAGTGTTATGTTAAGCTGGAGATCTTTAAGTTACGTTATGTTAAGTTATGGATCGCATTTGAGGGTAGAACATAAGACCTTCAAACATGTACCAAGAGTTTGCTCGACATTGATACATTATAAAAAAAGGACCTAAATGCGCTCTTCTATCACAGAATAAATAATTTTATGTTCATTTTAGAATATGGATTTGAAGTTATACTTTAACTTCATATGAAGGAGCTACGACAGATCTCAAGGTCGTAGTGTAAATTCTTCAATTCTTCTGACAAGGAAATGACACACTTGACAGAAAAGCACCAGTCTTATTGCTGTGTGTTTGTATACTCAGAAGTGGTACTTTCTTCAGAAGAAGAAGAGAAACACATAAACCTTTTTGAAGCCTATAGTCTATATGCTTATCAGAACAAAACCGCTTACATAATCGCTTCGCATAAGAGATGGAAATACCTAGCTGTATATTTTATATCGGATAAGGAAATACCATTCGGTAAAGTAGAATTGGTACTATAATTAATTTAGGAATATTATTCCTTGATATTATTCCTGAAATATGGATACATTATTGTCATCAGTTTTGTTGTAATTAAATTGGGTTACTTTGAACACCAAATCTGTTTTACATTTATTATTGTTTAGTTTAAAAAGTGCATGTCCTTTAGATTTCTTGTAGAAAAAGTCCTGTAGATTTTTTAGTACAGTATTTGTGTCCCTTTGATTTATTTTATAGATTTTAGAAATTTAACAAAGACTAGGTAAATTTTTTGTTATAATATTAGTGTGGCGATAAGTAGTAATCTTTATAAATTTTATTTGCTACTCTACTGACTCGCTTAAACAAACTTTTATGGTTCCAGGAGCGATCGGCCTACACCTCCTAATCACTCGCCATCGAAGATAAAGTGCCGCTCACCTCACTCGGTAGAGTTAAATGGAACGCAAGAAAAAAAATTGAAGCAGATTTCCCCAAAAATAATAGATCTATTTGGACCACAGCACGAAACAGCGAAACTTTATAAGTAATTAATAATATGCATGTAATTAGATTATGGGTGTTTAAAGATTTCACGGTTTATATTTGAGAAGTTCTTAGCTACGTGGTTAGCTTGTTTAATTTGCTAACCCACTTAACTTATAAATTAAATTATATGATTGCATTTAACTGTTGACATTGCTCGATTCAGCATATGTTTACATTTTAAGCAAAATGTATTAAGTCAGTATTATTACTTCTACATTTCATTTAATATGGAAATGTGGCAACACTTTCGCGGCTAAAAAGCTAAGCCAATATAATAGTCTTATATTGGTTTAGCTTATATTATCTTATATTATAACTTAGCCGTGATGGCTTAGTTGTTTTTGCATGTCTATGTTGAGTACTTCTTATAGTTGGCAAATTATACACAGCAAAAAAACACATAAAAAACTATTTTTTAGACATAGACCATAATTATTATGTATCTGTTTAAGTTTATATGTAGCTTCATACAAGAGAGTTTTTCGTATTTATATCAAAAAATGCTAGATAAATTGAAAAGTTCACATATGATTGGTAACAAATAGGAAATATCTTCAAAAAAACTCTGTTTTTAAGCAATGATCGGGGAGTGATTTAGGGGCCAGCTCTGGAACTTTGGAACAGATCTTTCACCTGACCAGCTTTCAGCTTTTCACCACGAATTACAGATGATTACATTTTTTTTGAAAGACTTTTTTGCCAGAATAGCAAAAATCGTTAGAACAGTCTTTCATTCTATATTTTAAAAATGTTTTGAAAGACTTTTAATAATCTTTGCCAGAATTACCCTGTAAGTATATAAGTAGTTTTATTCGCAAGAGTTTTCATTCATATTAAATGTTAGCTTTATTTATTATTTAAGGGCAGATTTCAAAGTCGTTACTTATATCTCAAAACTGGCCTAAGTATGAATTAAGCAAAGTTGATGACTTTAAGCATGACTTGAGTTAGCATTGAATCTAAGAGATAAAGGCGTATGATTGTAATGTTGGTCATGAAAGAAAATTTTGTGAAATTTATGTTCTGTTTTAATCAGTGCTGAACAGTAGTAGAACATCTGCTCCACTGATTTCTTAGTTCTTGTAATATTCTTACATAAAATCGAGAATTTTTTGAAGCTGATTTTCAATTCAATGTTAAAAAGAAACCCTAAATACTAAGTCAGTATCATGTGAGACAAAACTAAATTCTTGGTTATTTTAAAAGGAAAATACTCTTTCTGAAATTTTATTTCATTAAATTTTTAAAATTATTTAGTTTTATTTACGGTTCATTTTGATATCTAAACTCACACATACTTCCAGATTCGGCTGGTTTAATTGCCATTCTATTTATGCTTTAAAATGTAATGACATTTCAAACGCTTTTATGTACAGTTTGACAAATGTATCTGTGTATCTCTGAATTAATTTAGATGTTTAGAAATGTAAATCTACCGTCTACTGTTTTGGATCTGTACTACCACGTATATGTATCTGTCATAAAACAGCTAAAAATAGCAACATTTCCAACCCTCCCCGTTAACAAAAAATTTTTCCAAACCATTTTCCCATGTAGGAAAAATAAGACATTGGAGTTTGGAAACAGTGGTGCTGTCGTTTTAAAATGTAACGAAAGTGCATATGGAAAATATCAAATTACTAAAAAATAAAACACAAAAAAAAGATAAATAATACATAACAAAGATTGTTTGGTTAATGCTCGAAGAGGCTCCAGCAACATGTACGAACGTTCCTATTCAAAACAATGGTTAATGGCTTGAACGTTGGTACGCGATTTGATTTCATTTAGTTTGGCTGTTGGCTGGGAACATTCAGTTCCTGCACGTTGTTGTATTTTATGTGGAACATCTGTAATTTAAGCTATTTTTAGATGAACGCCGCTTACACAAGGATCTGCATGCATATCTCAAATATATTCCGTTTTACTCGCTGCCTCTCATACGTAGGCACGATTTGGCCAAATTTAAAGCAGTTCTTCTCATATTTGGCATGGGTGTGCGCAGGCAGGTACCTTCAAAGGAAACTTATAAAGAGAAGGAAACGCTACACAAACTCCGATCTGAATCTGAACTGCGCTTGAATAAATTTTCTATTTATATGCTTCTTCAGATACTTTTTATTTTATGTGTTTATAGATAGATACACACACATATAGATATATAATTCACGGTTTCTTGTTTGTTCTGTTGTTGGTGGAGAGGAAATCGAGTGCATTTTTCTTTGTCTTCACATTTTTGGCATTTATCGCCAACATTTACTTATGTCATTTGTAGTTTTATGTGAAAATTATTCATAGGGATGTGTCCTCTTCGTATAACATATATGCAGTAAGAAAATTCCTTTACATATTCTCACTTTAACATTTGTCTTTTTATTTTCTTCGCAGTTTTTTATTGTATATCCAAGTATTGTATTTATTTTTTAATCTCGGCCAAATGAAATCTTTCATGTTCTGATATTAATTTTTTTTTTTTTATTAAACATTCTTGTAATACTGAGGTCTTTATTTGCCTTTTTTGTGGTTTGTAGCTGCAAATGCAGTGGTTTCTCGTATTTGTGTTATCAACGTTTTTTTATTTCCGGTTGCCACTTCTGAGATTTTGAACCTTATTTATGCGTTTCAGCTGAACTTCTCTGGCTTGTTCGGTTTTAATGGTTTTTCTATACGTTTTAAAGAATTTAAATATAACTACAATATATGACTCAACGTACAAGATATCGGCTTCAATATAATATTTGAAGTACTTATAAATATATTTAAAAAGTATTTTTATTCATCATAAATGCAAAAATAAGTTGATTTTTATTTACTTTTATTATACTCTTATAAATCATTTTATTAAATTTATTATTTTTTTTATATTAAGTTTGATTTTAAAGTGAGTTATGACGGCACCGACACTTTACTTTATAGAAACTATTGTATTTAATAGTGAGGTTGCAAATAGTAGTGAATCACAACAACAACAATTTTCATTTATTTTAATAAGTCGAATTTTTCGCTGAACATATAGCTGTTTTGAGGCTTGCCAAACACCTATCATCAGTGGTTTTGGAATTATTTCGTAAATAATTTTTTGAATTTGAGCTTTTAAATTTCTTAGTTAACTAAATAATTAATTCATTAATCAAAGTAAATTAACAAAACTCCAAGTTCGAACATACAAGTCAGGTATAGCTTTGGGTCGGTTCGCTAATGAACACTGATTCTGAGCTGCAAATTTGGCAGCCTACGAGTTAAACCATTGATATTTCAGTTTTTATAAATATATTTCGAATAATTATATATAAGAAATATTTTCCAGGCCACTGACGATGGGTATTTTGCAAACTCGAAAAAATTGTCTGACACTCAAATGATATATACTATATATATATATATATATATATATATATATTAGTGATTTCTAGATTTTTAAATTTAAAAAATTTCTGTAAATGTATCATGTACTATTTTTTTTTCTAAACAGCACAAAATAGATGTTAAAACCAGACTAAAAAAAATTAATTTTTCCTAGTAGATTATTGACTAATAGGCCGGCGTGCACATAGTCTTGAATTTCCAAAAGAACTATCAAATTCTTATCTGTTGTCTTCAGTCTTAGTAAAGGGCTTTGTTGCAATTCTTGGAAAACTATATTTTGAAGACCGCGAAGAACACTTTTAAATATTTATAAATATATATTATTTAATAATTTAATATATATTATATATTATAGTGAACTACAATAAAAAAAAAAATTTTTATATTATTTTAATTAAATGAAAATTTTTTAATTTAATTTAAAATTATGTAATTATTGTCTAGTCTGATGAAGTGATAAACAATAATCCAGTCAAGGCGTAAGAAAGGGGTTTTGAAGTTACCTCGCAGTTAATAGAGAATAAAAGTGCTTAAGTGAACTGCCTCAAATTGCTTCAACATAATATATATTATATATTTATTTTATGTATTTATACATATTATACATTTACATTATATTAATTTCATTTATTTTGAATTCAATTTTTTTAATTTCTTTTTAATTTATTTCTATATTTTTTTTTGATATTTAATTTTTTCAGAGGTGGTTCACATGCTACTGACCAATCGGCCATTGGCCTTAACTTGAGTGCATTTTCGCAACATATCAACAACAACAACTATAATCTGAATAACAACAACAATAGCAATAACAACAATAACAATAATAAATCCTCAATGAAATTGAATGCATTACACTCATCACTACATTCGTCATTGCACTCATCATTTAATGATTCGGTGCTGAATCTGTCAAAATGTTCAACATTAAATATGACTCATGATGATTATTATTATTTCGTAAAGCCAGAATTGGATGTAACTGAACGTCACAATAGTGGCGCACAGCAACCCATACCTGCTCATCAAAGTAACCATACGCAACAACAGCAACATCTACAGCTATTGAAGAGCGCTCATCCCGTGCATAATGACAGTCGTGTCTCATCTACACGCAATGATACCACACAAAACACAACATTCGATGATATGGATGCCTCTTCGTTACGTAGTGGAGATGAAGTTTCCATACGCAATACAGCAGCCAGTCATCAAGGTTCTGATGAGGTTGAAGAACTGGAGGCAATTGATGCTGATTTTCCATATCCATTAATATTAGACTCTAACTCACCTAGGAGTGCTGGCGCAAATACTGTTAAACGTAGACGTAAGGATATGCATGGCTCTGACGATGCAGACGAGGATGATGAATATGAAGGTCAAATGTTGCAGCAACATCGTCATTTGCGTCAACAAAGCATGGGCATGAATGGTATGGTTGGTATGGATATGCCGCCACCGCAGACTGTACGCGAAGTTCTTAATTCCAAATTTTGTGGTTTCATATCAGCGAAGCTAAATAGCATGGAAGACACAGAGGCTGATAATTTAATGAACAAAATACTCATGTTATTAGTACAAACACAAAGTAATGATACGAAGTGAGATTTTAAATTTATTTAAATTAATTACATGTAAATATGTATCTCAATCAATATCATGTAAAAATTTAATTTAATGAAATTGTATCTGTAACACAAAAAAAATGTTTGTACTACTGAAAAGATTTAATTTTGTTATTTTTTTTAAGAAAAGAATTTTTATAAATAATTCTAAAAGCACAGTTATTATAATATTTTGCATTAGTTTTTAAAATTTTTTTTTGTTTGAATGATAAAATTATTTTTTGTTAACTAATTTTTTCATTATGTATATATTCTTGTACATAAAATTTAATAATATATTAAATTTCATTTCAATGACTGAAAATAATTCAACTCTGAATACAAACTTGAATGCCAAATTTGTGCCATACCAAAAAAGAACAGAGAAATAAAAAAAAATAAATTAAATCCACAAAAAAAAAAAAAATCAAAAACAAATAACTAAATAAAATCAAAATATTTTTATGATTGAATACATGATTACATACATAAAAATATATATAAATATTTATGTTGCTAAATTTTTATACAAAAGCCTTTGTACATATACGTCTGTCAAAAAAAGACTAAATCTATATACAAATCCTTGGCGTTTATTAATAAATTTAAATAGAAAACTAATATTTTTAATTTTTAAAAAATTTTTGTATATAACTTTTAATTATTATCTTTTAAGTCTTATTTCTTAACGAAATTCATACACAAAACTTGCCAAAGTGAACAAAATAATTTTTATGCCAAACGAAATATTTGCCATTAATTTATTTACAATTTTTTTAAATTTTAATTATTTTTCTTATTAATTTCTTAATATAAAATTTAGATTAATATATTATAAATTTTTCCTTATAATTTCAATGAAATAAAAATCATCACATGTCATTTTTAAACTAATTAATACAGCAATTCTAATATGTATTTTATATAAAGCATATGTAAAAATATTTATATGAGTTATAAAATATTAATTAAATAAATAATTAGTTATCATAAAGTATTCCGATGGTGAAAAGTAATAGTGGTCTTTTAAAAATTTAATATTTTTATTAGTTATAATAATTATTAATTATTAATTAATTATAATTATAATTACTATTTTATTTTTATTTTTATACGAATTATTTTATATAACAGTATAAAATTATTTTTATACAAATTATTTTATAAAACAGTATAAAATTATTTTTATACAAATTATTTTATATAACAGTATAAAATTATTTTTATACAAATTATTTTATAACAGAATATAAAATTATTTTTATACAAATTATTTTATATAACAGCATAAAATTATTTTTATACAAATTATTTTTTATTACAATATAAAATATTAACTAGTTTTATGTTAATAAAATTTTTATAAAATATGTGTATTAAATAATATTTAAATAAATGGTTTTTTTAATTTAAGATAAATTTATTATCTATAAATACATATTACAAAATAAAAATTAAATATTAAAATTAAAAATAATTCGTATTCCTATACTTTTAAAAATCTAGAAATTAAACGCAAATCAAATGTAATAAAAATATATAATAGTTTTGGTTATATATTATATACTCCTTAATTAAAAATTAATTATTTAAATTAAAATCACATACACAGTAAAAAAAATCTTAAAAAATTAAATATAACTGTTTTAGTTATATATATAGACAATAAAATTGTGCTAATATAAATTTAAAATAATTTTTTTTATAATTATCTTCATATATTAAATTACTTGTTTTATATATTTTTGAAAACATTTAAATGAATTTTTTTTTGTTACTACTCAATAAATCATTATTTTTTCATTAATTTTCAAAGAAAGAAATTCTTATTCTTGAATATTATTATAAAATATTATTAAACTTTAATAAAGATTTGAATTTAAAAAATACTCTATATATTTATATAGACATATATGTATGATTACAAATTTTTTAATACTCTTAACAATTTTTTAAATTTGTGGAATATATTTATAAAGCTTAAAAATAGTTTTACTTATAATAAGTTTCTATATATTAGTTTTATAAATTTAGCATGTGTTTATTAATAATAAATATTGAAATATTTCAAAAAAAAATTCTTTTTAAATTCCTTTTTGTTTTGAAATTAAAATTAATTTAATAATTTTTAATTTTTTTGAAAATATTTTATTATATATATATATAATTGTAATTCTTATTTTTATATTGCTTTTAGAAAATATGAAAATTACTTTTTATAAATACTTATATATAATATATATTTGTGTATTTAAAATATTAAGATAGAAAAATTAATATGTGAGAAGTAATAATTAGTTGTTTCAAATTTAATTTTTGTTTTTAAACAAGAAATAAACGAAATAAAAAAAAATAAGCAGTTTTATTATTATACATAAAAAGGTTTCTTTATTAGTATGGACTTTTTGTCCATGATAATTGAAAAATGGTTTTCAGTAAATGAACTGCTAAAATAATAAATAATAAAATAATAATAAAAACTTTTTATTATTTAATTTTATCAGATAATTTTTGATTAAATGTCTTTGCTTTGATGAATATATTATCACAGTTTAAAAATGTTTTCTGAAAAGCTGTTGATTTGGGTATGTTGTCTATCTATCTATCATTAGCGTAAAAGGACACCAGTTATTTACTATAATTTTATTTTTATTTTTTTTATCAAATTCAGAAAAAACTTTTTTAAAATATTTTATTTCGGGCTCTGAATTAAAATAGCACTATGAAACGAAAACTGAAAAAATGTGATATATCTACCAGAACGAGAGCTGGAACAGAACCTTTAGAGAACAGTTAATACTTGGAACAACACACCTTGACAAATTCAAAAGAAACTTATTCAGTGTAGTGGTTTAAAAAATAATTCCAAAAAAATATAAATTTTGGCTTTAGCGTAAATTGTTTTTGCAGTCTTAAATCTATTAAATAGTTTTGACTTTGATTATAAAATTATATATCTGTATATATACGTACTAAGTAAAAATTAATAAGGCTTAAGTAAGTAGTAAAAAGAAAAATGATCTCCAAGCTATTCAAATTTGCTACCTAATACAACTCTAGATAATGGTTTTAACTTAACAATCTGGTATCGCTATAGGCCAAAATGACTGTGTGT